TTATAACAGCAATACAAAATTTAACGAAGGGCACGCCAAGTTTTTTCTTCATTATAATCCAGTTTATCACTTTTCCATTTTTTAAATTTTTGAATGTTTTTCACAAATAAGCTTTTTGAGGTCTTTTTAAAATAATGAGGCTAGTTTAATAATGGCTATAATTTTATTAATTTCACAACTATTTTTGATCAATCATTTTTTAATAATTGTATATTTAAATTATAAAAAAAATTTGTTCTTAGTTTTAGAAAGAATGTAAGTGACATTTTTTATGTATTTGGCATATATATATTTTTTAAAAAGATTTTTTATGGTAATACTATAGCAAAGTTATGTTGTTATAATCGTTTATTTTAAAATTTGACACTTTACCAATTTCATCTTATTTATATTTTCATAATGATTTTATGTCATTTGACAATCCCGTACTCACAATTTCGTATCGCTTGGGAACTAACGTATACTCGCCTTATAAAAAGAATCAATTATGGATTAATTTTGTCAATTGATACCGCATTATATTTATTTTCAAATTCACTATGTTTTAAAACCAATATATTTTATATACAATTAGATTTGACTAGACGCTTAATAACTACTTTTATTTACTTTTTACTATGTTTTTATTATGTTTTATTTCATACTGTTTATTATCTTTTATATAAACTTTTATATAACGGACATTCAATAAATGCGTGCAATCTCGATATTGGCCTTTACAAATGCCTGTTTTCTAATTAATGGCGTCCCATCCTCCAACTTAATTTCACTTAATTGTAAACTATTAACTTACATGTAATTTTATTTCTTTTCTTGACTAATGAAGAGAACTGTGTGAAGTCGAAACATTTAGTCACTTAATTTTGAACACGCACATTGAATAAATAACTCTTTAACAACCCTTAATAAATTATTCTTGGCTCTTTTTAATTTATTTTTTACCTGTGCTTAATACAAAGCCACAAATATTTTACTTATTATTTTACGAAAAAAAGATTAATTTTACCTATATTATTGTGTATATATATAAAACAAGACTGTCTTTCAATTTGTCATTGCAACGTAGTCGAAATGGTGAAACTGTTGACGGATGCAATAATTAGAGGCGTGCCAGACACTGCACAAGAATTCCTGAAGAACTATCCTGACAATGTGGATGCGAGCATTCTCGGCAAAATGACGTGCCTGCATGTGGCCGCGAAGCAAGGTCAGCGCGAGCTCTGCACCCTTGTTCTGGACGGTGGTGCTTCTTTGCAGGTGGTCGACGAGGAGGGAAACACACCCTTGCATTACACGGTATTCGGGTAAGTTGAAAGTCGTTGCTGGATTTTACATCAACTAATATTGGTATTCTCTCGTTTGATTAAACAGTAATCGGCCGGAGATAACGGATCTACTGTTATCGCGAGGTGCAGCCGTCGATGCCGTCAATAACGACAAATGTAGTGCTCTGCATGTGGCTGCGGAGACAGGTCATCGCGAGGTCTGCACTTTCCTTTTGGACGCTGGTGCGTCTTTGCATTTGATCGACAAGGAGGGAAACACACCCTTGCATTACACGGTATTCGGGTAAGTTGAAAGTCGTTGTTGGATCTGTCGTAACGTCAAACTAACAATAGGGTAAATTTTCGTTTAATTAAATAGCAATCAACCGAAGATAACGGATCAACTGTTATTGCGAGGCGCAGCCATTGATGCCGTCAATAACAACAAATCTAGTGCTCTGCATGAGGCCGCGTTTAAAGGTCAGCGCGAGATCTGTACCCTCCTTTTGGACGCTGGTGCTTCTTTGCATATGGTCGACGAGGACGGAGACACTCCCTTGCATTTGGCGGCATACGGGTAAGTTGGAAGTCGTTGCTGAATCTGCCTAAACATCAAACTAACATTGGTATCCTTTCTTTTGTTTAAACAGCAATCAGTCGATGGTAACAGATCTGCTGTTATCGCAAGGCGCAGTCATTGATGCTGTCAATAACGACAAATGTAGTGCTCTGCATGTGGCAGTTAAGAATTATTACGTAAAATGCGTGAGAGTGCTGCTAAGTTATCATTGCGACGTCAATCTCCAGGACTTACATGGCAACACAGCGTTGCACAACGCGATCGAGATCAAGGACGCATTGGACGTGATCGACGCATTATGCACCTGCGAGACAGTAGACTTCACGTTGAGGAACAAACGAGGTTTCAGCATCCTGCATTACGCTGCGCTTAAAGACAACGCTCAGTACGTATAAGGCAGATACGATCAAGTATAGCCGCATAACGGTCTCAATACGGTCACGTCTGCCAAGCAATAGCTTGGCCACGCTTAAATTAATTCATTTGATCAATGTTTTAACTACGTGAATCTGTGAATTTGCAGTGCAATTGGGAGGCTGGTTACACACACGCGTCATTTAGTGAACGCGAAAAAAGAGGACGGATTCACAGCGTTGCATCTAGCGGCATTCAACGGATACAAGGAAGTAGCGGCCATCCTCCTCTCGCAAAATGGCGGCTGCGCCGCAGTCGATTTGCGCAATAATCAAGGGCAAACGCCGTTGCATTTAGCGACTTCGGAGGGACACTGGCCGCTCGTCGAACTGTTGGTGCATCATAATGCGGACGTCAGCAGCATAGACAAGGACGGTAACACTGTGCTGCATATCGCGTGCTGCACTGCCAACAGCCCGAATCAACAGATTGTAGTGCTTATCACCCGAAAGTAGCCGAGATTCACCACTTATACATGCTGTATGTTGCCTGACAATGAGAATGTTATGTAAACCAATTCTAAATACACGTACATATGTATATACATATACATGTTTTAGATATTAAGGGGTTACATCACCTTGACCGCCTAAAAATCAATCGGTAACTTTGGGAATTTTTTTTAGGAAAACTATAAAAATAACAAAAAATTTTAAGGCTTTAATCATACAAGTGTTTAGAAGTAAAAAATTTTTATTTATTTATTTTTTTAACAAAATGGCGAGGCTGAAGCCAAATTATTAAACGTCGTTTTGTCAAATCGGCGTTGCGGGGATCTGCCATTTGATTGAACCTGGAGCAAAAAACCAAAATTTTTTAAAAACTATATAATATGCACTAAAGAAATACATACGGATATGACGATATGTTAAATACTTTTTTTTT